TCTTTCATGTGGGATTTGTTTGTTTCATCATTTTGGCTATCTCCGTGGATTTTGGAGCCTGCCAAATTTTCCCTGTGGGTGTTGGTGTTCTGCTGTTTGTGGCTCCCTTTACTGAATTTTGATGAGACTGGGTGGCCCATGTTAAACACCACTCTGAAGTCTTTCTTGGGTAGATTTTCAAGCACAGGAAAGGTTCAGTTATCCTATAGCTTGTTCCTAGAGGCTAGTAATTTCAGTTTCTCAGTGCCTTGGAATGTTGGCCTGGTGTTCTGTGTAAGTGGATTTCCAGAGGGTGGGATAGCTGCTGGTTGTTAATGAGCCTCAATTTGCATTTCTTTGCCTCACCTGGGAAAGGCTGATCTCCAAGGGGGTGCTGCTGCTTTTCCCCACAGCTCTGGGAAGGAGCACATTGGCCACCATGCTTTGTGGCTACAACTCAGCAAAAAGTCTGAATGCCCTCCAAATCTTGGTTGTCCCCACAGAGTTTCAGCCCAGTCTGTCCTACCTCTACCGTAGCCCCCAGGTGAATGGCTGTGGTATTTTAGTGTTCTGTCTTAGCTCTCTGCGCTGTGGAGAGGGCTTTGTCTTTATTTCCCAAAGGTGCTGCTCACAGCTAAGACTGCTGCTGTCTGTGGGCTCCCTGCCTGCCACCCTCTCACGCTTCTGAATATCCTACCAGTGTCCCTGGTTATATGGTCCTGTCCTGCTGCTTTTCTGTTGCTTTTTTCTGAGGATTTGACTTTATTTTAGTTGTAATTCCCGTGTGGTCCTGAGAGAACATTTGTGTAGCTTCCATTCACTCCGTCTCCATTTTCACTTCCTCTATGTTTATCTTGTGCACAGCTGGGTTGCACAGGCCTCTCTGTGCCCCGTACCCTGCAGGTCCCATGGGTAAATTGAATCACACAGTGCCTTTGGGTCCCTGGCTCTATGCCTATGTTATGGGTTGCTGGGTCGCACAAGCCTGTCTGGTGCTTCAGCACCCCGAATGGCCCACGAGTGACTGGATGACACATCCCTGCTAGGTCACACAGTCCTCTCTGGTGCTTCAGCACCCCACAAGTCACGCTGGTAACTAAATTGCACAGTCCCTGCTGGGTCACCCAGGCTTCTCTGGTGTCCCTGCACCCTGTGGGTCCCGTGGGCAGGAAGCTGGATCCCACCTGTCCTTCTTGGGCTCTGGCTTCCCACGGCTCTTGTGAACTGCTGGACAGCACAGGCCTCTGTGGAGCCACAGGCCCCGCTGCTGGTGGCTGGGGAGTACTGCTGCCCCGTGTGGCTCAACTGTTGCTCAGCTTTTGCTGTAGGTTTGGGGGGGGGGGGATGAGTCTAAGCTGCTGGTCTGTGCTTCTGTTGCTTGGGGATGGATGTCTGATCCCCAGCCTCTGTTGCTGGGGGTACATCTCAACTCTAATCGGACTGCTACTGTGGGGGATGGTGCTGGGATCCTGGCTGTTTGCAGCTTCCAAGACTGGCTCCTTGGCAGCTCCACTACTGTGCACTGGTCTGTGTTGACACAGAGTGTCCACTGGTCCAATGGTGTCAGGTGCACTGGTGGGTTCAGATTGCTGGGCCCTAGCCGCTCCAACTGCCTCTTCCCAGGAAAGACCCAGGATCTTCCAAAATGGTGGGACCTCCCTGTGGTGTAGGGAGAAGCACTCTGAAGAGCTGCTTACCGCAGTAGCCAGCTGCTCCCATCCACAGCACAGGAACCTTCTGCTTTGCGTCTCTGCACTGAAGGAGATTGGTAGTCCACCTTCATGTCCACTCACACTCTCTCACACACTAACTCACTCTCTCACACACTCACCCTCCCTCTGGTCCTGCCCACTGACATCTTTTCACAATGCTTCATTTCTTCATTTATAAAATAGTAATAACAGTCTTCCTCTGGAACTGGGTGGTGAGGGTCACCGGTGCTAATTTATGCCAATGTGCCAGACAGAACACTGGTACATGGCAGGCCCTCTGTCAGTGTTCCTCCCTAGCCAAGCTACCCAGGTGGACCAGCCCTAAGCCAATCAGGGTGCTCTGTGATCAGACCATAGTGTCTGGCTCAGGTACAGGCATGTGTCTCAAGCCAAGCTGACTGGGTCCAATCAGAGCTGATCCTAGAGCTTTGGCCAGTATGATCAGGAGAAGGCATTTTTGTTTTCCTACTAGACTGCAGACTTAGAGGCTGCGGGCCTAAAATAGCTTCAGCTGTCTGGCCCAAACTGTATGAGTTGACCCAACAGAGGACAACCATGTAAAGGAGGACAACCAAGTCTTAATGCTATTTGAGCCCTGAATCCAGCTGGACTTAAAGCCAGCATTCTCCCCCATCCTGCCTTTTTTGTTGTTGTTGAGATCATCAGATTTTCTCTCACTTGCAATGAGAAGAATCCTAACTGACATACAACTCTTTCCATTTTTATGTGGAATAATTGTACTTCTACATTCATTCTTCGACAGGCTTCTGGAATTTGTATTATGTGTGCACCTTTTATTCTCCTCCCCCTTTCTCCATCTGACAAACTCCTACCCTTCCTTCAAGACCAATTTTTAAGGTTCCCCTCTGAGAAAGATTTTACAGCTTCCAAAAGACTAATCCCTCTGTTGCAGGGCGGCGGTGACACCTGCTTTCTATCCACCTCTACCACTGGTTACAACCTCCTTGAGGACATGCAGATTTTTCCCTCATTTTTCTTTAGTGGCTAGCATAGTTTTGAGCTCATGGTGAGCACTCATCAAATGCTGTTTGAATGGCTGGATGAATGACAAATGTTGTGAGGTTTTAAAATAAACAGCTATATTTTGCACCTATAATCTGTGCAGTCGAAGACTTAGGAGCTAGAAGCAGAGTTCAGATAGGGTCTCAGTCACCCAGAAAAGCCTTCAATGAGGCATGAAGATTCTGGGACACAAACAATAGCATCCATAGCACATGGCTCACCCCAGCTTTTACACTGGCTGGTGTCAGCCCAGCAGTGGTAGAGTTTAATAAGCGGGGATTTAGATTCTTAAACATACAATTGCCATTTTTTTATTATTATTTTTTTTTAATCCTCACCAGAGAACATTTTTGCATTTATCTTCAGATAGAGCAGGAGGGAGAGGAGAAGGAAGAGAGAGAGAAACATCGATGTGAGAGAGGCACAATGACTGGTTGCCACCCACACAACCCCAACTGGGCCCGGGGACAAACTGCAACCAAGATATGTGCCCTTAGTGGGAACTGAACCCAGGTCTCTCTGGTCTGCGGGTCGACGCTCTAATCGCTAAGCCAAACTGTCCAGGGCATACAATTGCCATTCTTCACATAAGACCTGTGAGAGGTTACAGTCCCTCAAGCAAGGAGTGACAGGTGTGATACACACCCATCCAATTTGTGCTGATGAGGTAGGAGGAGAAGGAGGAGAACAGCAGCTGCTATCTTATTGAGCATTTACTGCATCAGTTCTTCTGTTAACTCCTTATATAAGAGTTCTAACCCTAAAAATCATCTAATGCTTTATCTTCTTTACAGCTAAGAGTGAAAATCAGAAAAATTAATTTCCCAAGTCATGCAAGTTGGTAATAGGGAGATTAGAGTACAACAGCACCTGGCTTTCAGGTCTCCAACAGTCTACCAGTGGGCTCAGAATACAAGTCATCTTGTCCCTTGCCTATCTTGCCACTCCTTCTGGCTATGTCCCTAGCTCATCTCCTTGTCCTCATGAGGGGTTTCCAGCCATTCTTCAGCAGCACTCAGTTCTTTCCACCTCAGGGCCTTGGTTAGCTTTGCCAACCCCTCTCTCTTGAGTGCTCTCTGCCAGCTCTCCTATGGCTGCTTCTCATGCATGGGTCTCAGAACAGGCATCACTTCAGAAAGGCCTCTCTTCCATTCCATCTTGGGTGGCCTCTCTCTCTTGGACCTTTCTGACCTGCACTGAACCCTCACTGCACATCATAATTTGCTATTTGCTTGCTTGGTTCCTGGCTCTTTTCCCCTCTGAGGGCAGCTCAAAAGGCCAGGATGACAAAACCCCAGAATAGTACTTCAGCCTAGTAGCACTAAGCAGGGAGCAGAGAATATGCATTGAATGAATAAATACCTTTTTCAAAGGCCTGTGTTCTTTCTACAACTCCTCTCTGCCAGGGTATGTAGGGGCAGAACAGCGCCAGTTTGTTTTACCATGCTACGTGCTTTATTCTTTGAGCAGAGCACAAAGTACCAGCACTAACCTATTTTTTTTTTTTTTTTACATCATTGCTGCATGGAATGCCCAGCTGCCTGATTACACCTGCCCATTTGACACATTTGAAATCAGCTGATGGGATTACTTTCAGCTACTGAGGAACACGGCTGGAACACAATCATCATCTCCAATCTGCAAAAGGGACTGCACCTCCATAAGGGGAGGCTCAACACTTTAACATCTTTTGGGAATTGCAACAGCTGCTGTGTTAATTCAGACCACAGTTAATGCAGACGGACAGATGTCTAAGCCAGTCATTCAATAGTTAGCCTCTCATTACGGTCAGGATCTAATTTGGTGGAGGAAAACTTAGGAGCTTCACTTAATGTCCAAATAAGTGGCACAAAGACATTGTCATCATGCTAGAAAATGCCTGTCAATAAAGTCCACTCTCTGCGCAATTTGTGGAAAAATACTTGGCCTCTTACTCTACAGATATTATTCTAATCCAGTGGTTCTCAACTTGAGCCACACCTTGAAATCACCCACAGAACTTTCAAAAATGCTGAGGCTGAGTCTCATTGTCAGAAGAACCTCTGGGTTTAATTGGCCTGGGGTGGGAAAGCTCCCCAGCAGTTTTGATGTGTGGTCAACATGGAGAAGCACCTGCTTTCATCATCATGTGCACTTAGGTAATGATATTCAGATGCCACATGGAACTTGCCAGTGGCAAGAATGAAGACATTTTGGTATGGAGGCTTATAACCACTTTGGAGCCACTTGTCCCCCTGAGGGACATGCTGGGTAAACCATGGGTTCTATCTGTAGATATTTGGATACCTCTAGAACTTGCTGCTGCCATCCATTTGGAAATGAAATAGATTGACATGGCCATTCACTGCAGGTGGCAGAGGCTGTATTCTCCCCTCTCCACATAGGCAGGTCAACACCAGCAGGCTCAGTCCTTTTTCCCCTCCAGACCCAGGTCAGGCATCTCCACAGATACACGCTCTGACCACTGGCATCATTCTGGTCTTACACTGCTGCTGCTGTAAGAGGCAGGGGGTGCAGTTCTCTTGAGTTATTGGATTCAACTCTTGCTTGGCCCCCAATTCTGATAAAACAATCTCCCCTCCTCCTACTCACACTTACTGTTCCCTGGACATGAGTCTCCGTTTTGTAAAATCTGTTTGGTAAAGGGGAAATCAAATCATATTACCTCTCTGCTTGAAACCCTTCAGAGACATTTTGTCTGTTGCCATAGAACAAAGCCTGCTGCTTTTGTGATAATATCCTCTTCCCCCTGCTTTGGGCTCCTTGCTGATGCTCAGCTATGCCCATCAGAGTGTGCTAAGTATTTAAAATGTGGGAGGGAAATGATCTCCATTTGTAGCATTTACCAATTTCCATGGTGTAAATGTTCTCATCATGGCTGACTTCAAGCTATTAGTGTGCTGTCACTGAATTAAGAGTTGAAAAGAAGTATGTACCTTCAGCTCCAGAAACCCTGTCCAAGCCTGCTCCAGCCCAGGTTGGTGAGCCCTTTCCCACCTGTAAGGGCTTCTATTGGGGATCACCGCTCCCACCCCCATCTTTGTATGCTGCCTTTGACCATCATTTGAATCTCAGGCCTCTTCTGACCACTTCAGTTGAAGCTATCTCTTCAGTACTTGTCACTCTCTAAAGATACTTATCCAGTGCTGTGTTCTGTGAAGGCAGAGGTCTCCTCAATCTCATTTACTACTATGTTCTCAGCTGGGAAAAATGCTGGCATTTGTAAAAGCTTATTAAAAATTTGTTGACTTTTCTGGATGGCCCTTCTGCCCACTGCAGTCTCCCAGGTTGGAGCTTATGCCCTCGAGTAGGGGCCTTGGAAAGCAGGCTGGCACCAGGGTTTTCCATTGCTTTGCTCCACCTACCTTCCAGGACACCCCTTCCCCTTGTCATACCTCCCTCACTCTCTCCCCACACATCTACCATAGGTGGAGCCACCATTTGTTTATGCCCAACCTGTGTCTAAACCTGACCAGCTGTCCTCTAGGCCCACCCTAGGTCCCAGCTCCTACCAGATCCTCCTTTGTTGCCATCACATCCAGCCATACCATGAGCTCTATGTCTTTATGTCTTGTCTCTTTGGGAAAAGGGAAACCCCCTATCAAGGCTTTCTGTGAAACTTCCTCATTCATGCTGGATACTGGTCACCATTTATGGTTTCACAGACATCATGATTATATGTATGCTCTGACAACACAGAGCACTAAGGAATGTAGATGTCAAGTAAATAATACCACAGATGCTGGGAGGCCATAAACAGAGAACACAGGCCAGGTGAGGTGGTTTGATTCCCAGTACCACCACATGAGGCCCTGGGCAAGTCACCTGGCCACTCTAAGCCTGCAGTAACAGGATGGTGGTGACAATGGCCCTTTGACTGAGACTGTCCAGAAATACTGACTCAAAGCTTATCACATGCCAGCCAGGTCCTGGGGACACAGAGATGGATAACCAGCACTGTCCCCACCCTCACACAGCTGATAATTTCATAGGAAAGACAGATGCTCAGCAAAGAATACATGTATAAGTGTGTATTGTGAGAATTGCCATGAACACAAAGAGAGGATACCACAGAGGGGCTTACTGGGACTGGAAGGAATGGATTGGGAAGGCCTTGAAGTATTTAAGTTGAGGATGGAAGGCTGAGAAAGAGACAGTTATGGGCAGAGATGAGTGCTGCCTGGGTTTAGGGTCCCACCCATGGTAACATAGGTGCACCTATCCCAGACACAGAACAAAGGGCATGGTGTCCAGAAGGCTGCTGAAAGGGGGAGGTACTTTATACAAGCTCTGAGAGGTGCGGCAGCCAGAATCTGCAGGGCCCTGGAGGCAGCAAGAAGCTGGGAGAGGATGATCCTTCATATACAGAATAGTATGGAGAAGGGGAGTGACCTGATCTGATTTTTTGAAGCATGTCTGGCTGCTGTGGACGGAGGAGTAGGAAACCTGCATGGCCAGGCCCTCCTACTGTACCTCCCCTGGCATTCTGCAACCTCGATCAACAGCAGTGGAAAATTAACAAGGCATTTATGTAGACACAGTAATACCCACAGTGGTAGAAATTAGGATGCATAAAAGGCTAGTGAAGATCTTTTCCCAAGACTATCTTTAATGGCTGCAGCCTGTTAGGAGTCAGTTGTTCCAGGAGAAGGTAGTGACTATTAGAGGGGGAGGGCTGGCCCCAGGAGCAGATGGCCTGCCTGGCAATCATCCCTGGGAGGCAGGGACATTCCCAATAAAGCATATGCAGCCTTTGATAAACGACACAGAATTCCTCAGAGTTTTTCAGCCAGGGTTTGCTTATTCATGCCTAGGTGAGACAAAGTGAAATTTCCCCTCAATCAAACAATTTATTCTCTCTTTATTCCATTGCTTATTCATTGTTGAAGTGATGAACTTTTCTGGGTCTCAGTTTTTTCACCTACAACATGGGGATAATCTTAACAACACCAACCACAGAGGGCAATATGGAGTCAATGAGAAGATGTGTATGGAATCCTTGGGTCTTGTCTGGCATAGAGAACTCTGTAGCTGTCCACTGTGAAGTCCCATTTTCTGATGACACAGATGGTCCGCTTACAACCTGGAGGCCTGAGTTTATGCTCTAGCCCTTCCATGAATTGGTTCTGGGTTTCTATGGGCCCCAATTTCTCCGCCTGGCACTAACTCATGGGGCTTTGGGGACAAAATGAAGAAATGTATATAAAAATATGCTAAAGGGCTCTGGAGGTTAAGGTTGAGGCCTCTGCCTTCCTAGTTCTCTGTTGTGCCTTGTTGACCCCTCAAATGGTAAGGCCCATTCATAGACCCACATAGTGTAGGGACACCTGGAAGGGTGGGTAGGAAACAGGCCAGCAACTCCACCAGTGCCTTGAAAGACAGAGACCAGTGCTGGAAGAAAAAATAATTCACCTCCACTAAAGGGGCCCCCAAGTGTTTCCCACAAGACTTTGGACTTGGTGGGAACCAATCCCTGCTCTATCTGCACATCTGTAGAGTGGGGATCACAACACCTTCCTCATAAGCTGTCAAGAGAATTAAATGAGCACTTAGTATGGCCTGGCACCAAGTAAAGAATGTTAGCCTGCCCTTTTCTGAGCAATGCCAAGTTTCATTAAAGGGAGAACTGGATGCCCAACTGGAGAAATGTTCTGCTCATTTTACTAAGAACAGTTTGGAAAACAGGATTTATTGGAGGAAACAAATGGTCAGAGGGACACAATGGATGTTCCTACACCTAGGCTCAGGTGGCAAGATGAGGGCATCTGACCCAGGCAGTCTCACTAACTTTGATGATGTCCTCAAATGAAGGGAGAGGGGGGAGTCTGTCTGTTTCCTTTGGGGACTGTATATGCTGTTATCTCTCGATTATTTCCAAGGCACTCCACTCAGGTAGTACATGGCTCACTTCATCATCCACATCCACCAAACTCCTACTGGCATATTTTATGACTGTAAAAATCACCAGGGCTTCCAGTCAAGATGGTAGAGCAGGTAAACATGGTACTTGCTCTTCCCATAACCACATCAAAATTACAACTACAGAGCAACCATCATTGAGAACCACCTGAAATCTAGCTCAACAGAAGTCCTATATCTAAGTATACACAGAAGAAGCCACACTGAGACTGATATGAGGGATGAAATGGGCTGGTCCCACACTAACATATGGTAGTTAAAATCAGGATAAATGTCAGTTGTGGAAGTCCCCACTGAGGAATGAAGGGTCACAGCCTCACACTAGGCACCCCAGCTCGGGGTTCCAGTACTGGAAAAAGAAGTCCCCTAATTTTATGCTGTGAAAAACAGCAGGAATTATTGTTGAGTGACATGAAGAGCTGCTAGAGACTAGAGTTTCCGGAAGTTTCTCTTATAGGGCCCATGCATGGACTTATTTGAACGTACTCCCTCTGAGCTCCAATGCTGAGGCAGCAGCTTGAAAGACACCAGAGACGTACAGAATTGTTTAGCTTTGGCATGAGGTCTAGAAGGGTCTGGCTTTCTCCCAGACAGAAGTGTTGGCAGGCAGAAGCAATTGTTCCTTTGCTGAGCCCTCCTACTACCAGTGCAGACAGCACTATATCTGAGTCTCCGTCAACCTGGCTAACACCATTTGCCCCACACTGGTGTTTCCCTGAAACCCGACCCCTCCCAACTTGCTGGCCCAACCAAGCTGTTTCCAGTGGCTTTTCCATACAAACAGCCTATCTTGGTTCATGCTTTGAACTTTCCTAAAATCTCTCAAAGGTTCACAATCCCCAAACAAGCAGGATTTTGTCTCAGCATGCCCCATATGTCTTCTTTAGTGGCCCAAAGCCCAGCACTAGTGACAGCCAATCTCAGTTTGCAGCTTAAGTCTCTCAGGCACTTCCAAGCCCAACACAAGTAGTGACTATCTGCAAATTGTTTTGTAGCCCATGCCAGGTGGCCCCGGGCAGAAATCAGGTGGTGGCTGATCTTGGTCCATACCTCCTGGGAGACCCCAGAGCCAGTGCACTTATTGGACAGCTTCAGACCATGCCAGTGCATCATGCAACCATCTCTACCAGCAACATACTCAAGGGGTGGGCTCAGCAGACACTAGCAACCCACTGAAACAAGTCCTGCTTCATGATGTCTTCCCCTGAATAGCAGCACCTCTGCTCTAGTCATAGCTATTTCCCACAGCTGATTGGCCTGGAGTCAATCCCTTCCATTGACATGACAACAGCAATCAAAACTCAACTACAACAGAAGAATGCACATAGCCCACATAGGGGATGCCTGTGGAGCACCCAGCTCAGGTGACAGGGGAGGCTGAGGCACTGGGCCCTATAGGACACCTATTATATAAGGCCACTCTACTAAGATGGGGTGATACAGCAGCTCTACCTAACACAAAGAAAAAACACAGAGAGGCAGTCATAATGGGGAGATGAAGAAACATGTCCCAAATGAAAG